GGCGGTACAGGCAGCACACAGCCGTGTCCCAAAGCTTTTCCCGGCCTGGGAGACTCCCTGAAAGCAGGGCAACCCTGAGTTGACCCTGTGCACTGCCCAAAAAACTGGGTCAGGAGCGAAGCAGATCAAACCTTCGCCCTGGTACAGTGGCCACAGGGCTGTGGCATGGCTCATTCGTGAGCTGAGTTTGGCAGGGCTCAGCCCAGGCTCAGGTGCTGTGTTCTCCCTGCCACAGCGTTTCTCAGGGAGCAATTTGGGCAGAGAGAGCCCTGAAAGACTCAGAGAAGGTACTTAGGACAGCACTCCCCAGGGAATGGGATACCAAAATGTGTCTGCCTCGCCACGCCAACCTCCTCAGGGCTGGTCCCCAGCTCACAGACTCCACCAGAGACCACGAGCCATGTGTGGCAGGAAACATGCTGGCAAGAGAGCTCAGCAGCTCCAACCTGTCACCTCCACCCAGCACGTGGCCTTGGCTCCATCCCCATCATCCCTCCCCAGGCTCACAGCGGCTCTGGGGCGCAGCGGCCGCCACCACGCGTCACCCCGGGTTTCTCTGCCTCGCTTGCTCCCATCCCACGCAGCCCAGCTGGCTTCCTAACACTGCTGCTTAATTAAAACCAACTGGGTGGAAAGCGAGCAACGAGAGGCAGAGCCCGCGTGGTTTCCGCCGGCGGAACGGATGGAGCGGAGCTGTGCTGAAGCCAGGACCTGGCACCTTCCCTGTGTCCCCCTAAGACTCACCGGCATACTCTGGGTCGACATGGGGAGGGTAAAACCCAAACTTGATGAAGATGGGGATGGGGACGCCGAACTTGAACCACTCCACGACATAGGGAGGGGGCTGCCCCGTGAGCGGGTGGATCACGTCGCATCCCAGGATCACGCTCTCGCCAGCGCGAGCGGTCACAAACTCGGGCTCCTCCCGTGAGCCGAGGGCACCTGTGAGGAAAAAAATCCATGGCTGATCCTACCACCAGTCCCCAACATCAGGCTAAGAGCCTCACAAAGAGCCTGTCCCCAGTCACCTGTCTCCACTGACAGCAGACTCTGCCCCAAAATCAAGAGATGGTCCTCAAGCTCCTCCACTCAGCTGCAGGGCCACCCTGAGCCACCACAGGACTCAGGACAGTGTCCATCAGCACTCACTGCTCTGTGACAGCTTCCCAAGCTCTGCACTGGAGCAAGGATGATGCCCAGCCCCAAAATCAAGAGATGGTCCCAAAGCTCCTCCTCTCAGCTGCAGGGCCACCCTGAGCCACCACAGGACTCAGGACAGTGTCCATCAGCACTCACTGATCCGTGACAGCTTCCCAAGCTCTGCACTGGAGCAAGGATGATGCCCAGCCCCAAAATCAAGAGATGGTCCCAAAGCTCCTCCTCTCAGCTGCAGGGCCACCCTGAGCCACCACAGGACTCAGGACAGTGTCCATCAGCACTCACTGATCCGTGACAGCTTCCCAACCTCTGCACCAGGGCAAGGGTGATGCTCAGAGACCCTGCAGAGGTTCTAGGAACCTCCTGCTCTTGGAAAAAGGAGGCACAGTGCATACCCAGCACTGCTCCCCACCTAGCAGCACCACCAGGGCTGCCCTGTATCCCTGTGGCAGGGGAAAAGCTGCTTTTAGCAGTCCTGCTTGTGCCCCACATCTTCCAGAGAGTGGCACTGAGCATGCAGGACCATTGATGGCAGCTCTCTCGTGCCAGCCCACAGATCCAGCTGGTCCCAGGGTGGGCTGAGCCCCTGGAGCAGCAATGCTCCAGCCAAGCCCATTTGTCCTCGGGCATCCCTGAGAGTCCCAAGCCTGAAACGCAGCTGCGACCTGCGCGTCGGGTCTGTCACCCTGCTCCTCCCAGCTGGGTAATTACAGGGGACTTTGGTCTCAGCTCCAAGGCTGCTCCACCCCGGCTGTGCCGCCTTGCTCGCTGCAGCCTGGCGTCATCCTGCTCTGCCGGCAGCAGCAAAGCTGCATCCTCAGCACGGCGCTCAGAAAGGGAGCGAGAAGGGAAACCCAGAGCTGGGAGGAAGCCAAAAAAACGGCGGAGGGGGGTGTCCCCCCAAAACTAGGTTCAGACCCACATCTCCCTCCCCATCAAAGCAGGGCCCCCCGTTTTCCTGGCGCACGCGGCCGCCGCCTGCTCCGGGGGGATGCTCGGGGAGGGATGCTCGGGG